GGGAATAGAAGACATGTCGAATATGAATAGGGAAGCGAGTCCGATGGAAATAGAATCTGTGGGTATGGGGAAATCGAAGCTCGCGAAGCGCCGGTTTTTAACTTCTTCGGCGCCTAAGCCCTTCGGGCTCAAAGTCTCATCAGGCACCTGAGGATCTTGTGTAGTAAAATCCCCGGTGCACATGTCCCGCAGTTCTGAAACATCACCTATTCCTAACATAGTCAAGTACTCTTTGTAAGCGTCGAGATCTGAGACTTCAAAGTATGGAAGCCAGCTTCTGTCTCCCGACTGCCATAGAATCTCAAACATAGCATTGCTTCGACTTCCCTTGTGAGATAGAATCCGATCAACTGACCATTCCACGTCGGGCATATCAAAATCGGCGATCTGATACTCAAGACGGCCTGGGAACAGCCTATCGTCATTTGGTACATGAATTCTCAGCAAAGAAGAGTGGAATACATCGTGGATTCCTCGTTGTTTCATCCGATCAGGTAATTCCACGCGGTATGAGTTATTTTTATAATCTTCGATGATTCTATATGGCCCGACAAACTTCGGGACCAGCTTACGGGCTAGACCCTTTGGTAAATTTAAGTTCTTCGTGGAGATGTACACGCGGTCTCCGATCACAAGAGGGCAGGCACGGCGCTTCTTATTTGCTTGGACAGTCTGTTTCACTCTCGCGGCTAGAATAGCGTCATGTGCAGCCATGATCGCCGCTTTCATCTTCTGGGCGTAAGTTCTAACCCCGGGGTATTCCTCTGGCTTCGCATTGTTCCAGATCATGGTGCGCGGAAGCCTTCCCGAATTCAGAAAGAATGGTGAGTACCCGGTCGAATCGGAGCGTGCTAAGTTTATGGCAAACTCTACTGCAGGAAGCTTCGCCACCCAGTCCTTCTGGTGTGGCGATATGCACGATCGGAGCATCTGCCCGATCGTTCGGTTTGCTCTTTCGGTCGAGCCATCCGTCTCGGGATGATATGCGCTCGACATCTTCAAGTTCACTCCAAGGAGTTTATTCAGGTGAGTCCAGAACCGACTCGTAAATAGAACGTCTCGATCGCTAATAATCGCTTTGGGAAGACCATGTAATTTATAGATCTCCGAGAACACCAGCTCAGCGATGTCGCGAGCGGTGTAGTTCTGCCGACTAGGCACCAAATGCACCATTGCAGTAAGTAGATCAATCACAACGGTGATTTCGTCATATTCAGCATCACGATCCTTTGACATTGGAAGCGGGCCGACGAAGTCGATCCCAATCGCTTCCCATGGCATTGAAGGTACAGGCAATGGATTCAATAATCCATAAGGTTTCTGATTCGGTGGCTTACTCTGTTGACAGGTCTTGCAGCTCTCGCAGTAGCTAGCCACGTCTTTCGACATGGTGGGCCACCAGACATATTCTTTGAGGTAAGCCAGTGTCTTTCTATTGCCTAAGTGTGCTAATAAAGAGTGCGCTTGCTCGATTAGAACTTCTCGTAGCTTTCGATTGTTCTTCATAATGTCAGGTATGCACAATACCACTCTATCGTACATTTTCTGTCTGAGATAACCATTCTCAAGCCAGAAGTTTCGGAATTGCTTCGGTGAGTCTACTATAGACTTGAAGAATGCATCTTCATTGTATCGATTTCTAACCTCCTCTAGTAGTTTCTCTTCATCAGGATAAGTGACAGGCAGACCAACAGGCCATGGAGGATCAAATTCGAGTGAGTTCTCGACTTCATCTGCCCAGCTGATCGGCTGTTCTTTTGCAGGTGCTGGTTCTGGAGGGCTTGGGGACTCCATTCCCCCCTCCATTCGTTCGCTAGGGCCCCGGAGAACGAATCCCCTGGCCACGCGTTTCGAAAACTCAACGGACGTCTCAGGACGTCCAGACTCAGGAGGTGGTAAGCTTTGTTTTCGCTGCTGCCGCGGCATTCGCGGCGCAGCCACAGGAGGTGCATCGTTCGGTGCGATTGCCCGAGTGTTGCTCGAACGCAGCGGTGCGTGTGGCGCGATGATTTGCGTCTGGCCTGATCGCGCCAGCGCATTTCTAGCAATTGCACCTGTGGTGCGCGGTGTAGCGGTCACACCGCTCTTGGACGGCGCCGGAACGCGTCCAATCGCACGTGCACCACTCTTCGGCGCGAACGGCCTGTTGAGACGTTCAACACCAACCGGGTTGCGTCGCCCGCTCGGTTTTGTGGGAGGCGAGCGCCCTGCCATCAGCGCTCCTTCGACACGAAGAGCGACATCGCGCAGCGGCGGCGCAATCGCAGCGGCGCCCTTCGACGCGCCGGTCTGCTGCGCTTGAAGCGACGCGTTCGGCTTTGACGCAGCAAGGCGCTGACTACGACGAGGCTCGGACAGCAGTTCTGCCGCCATCGCCTCTGCTCCAACCAATATTGGTGCGGTGATCATGTCGTCACGCACATTTACGAAGGTACGTTCGCCACTATCATCAAATTGCACATATTCTGACGGGGAGCGAACTGTTCCAGGCGCATCATTCAAATACATTCGCGACAACGCATCGGGCAGAACGTTCTCCTCGCCCGGTACATATAGAATCTCAAAGTCGAACTCGGATAATTTTAATAACCATCGAGCTTGGCGCCCGGACAAGTTCTTTTGGTTTGTCAGATATTCTAGGCCTTTATGGTCGGTTACCCAGGTAAAACGAGCGCCCTGAAGCACGTCTCGGTGGCGCAGCATAGTCTCTACTCCTGCTAACATTTCTTGTTCATGTACAGGATAGTTCCGCTGGGCTGGGTTCAGCTTTGCTGAATAGAAAGCTGCCACCTTGGCCTTTCGCCAGGTATCTCCCTGGGCAATTACTCCACCAATTCCGGCGCCAGAAGCGTCGGTTATCAGCCATATACGAGGTGCTGAAGCGCCATACTGAAGTGGCTTCCGGGAATGCGAAGCATGCTCTGCAATGAGCCGCTTCACTTCGTCAAATGCGCGCTGCTCGGTATGAGTCCAGCGCCAACCTCTCGACTCAGAACTCGCCTCAGCAAGTATTCCGAGCGGTTTTCGAATGTTGAAGCATTCGTCAGCTAGCCAGCCAGCAGCGCCCTCGAAGCGTTTGCAGGCAGTTCTATCGGTAGGCACTTTCCAGTTCTTAATATTGTCAACCTTAGCTGGATCCATACGGATTCCGCTGTCGTCGACTATCCGGCCTAATATTTTGACTTCCCGCAAAAGGAATTGAAGCTTCTTTTCACTCAGGTAAAGTTTCTCGCGTCGCAATATATTTATAATCGCTCTAACATGTTCTATGTGCTCCTCGAGGGTGTCTGAATAGATTATTATATCGTCGAGGTACACATCCATGAACCGGCCGATGTAGTCTGCGAACAGGTAATTCATCAGCGCTTGATAAGTCGCTGGAGCGTTGCAGTCGCCTTGCTGCACAACAAGGCTTACCATATTTCCATCGGGCGTGGTCACTGCCGAGCGAGGTACGTGTTCTGGTATTATTCTAATTTGCTCATAAGCGTCCTGACCATCCATTACAGAGCGATATGGCTTACGAGCGACGCGACGGAGTATTCCTTCCATGTCGGGCATAGGTGAGCTTAATTTCTTTGTATTCTTGTTCCGCTCCCTAAGGTCCACGACAACGCGGAGGCGTGTTTTATCCCCAGCCTTTGGAATGAGAAGCATCGGACATGTATTGCGCGCGGTGGACATCGCCCAGCGCCCGCTTTTGAGGTATGTATCTTTCTTTTCAACCCACGCCGGCCTCAGCGCTTCAGGACAGCGTGAGGGGCGCCACGGATACACCATCTCCTCGTCCACCAGAGGGATGGAGTGGTTTATGGCTCGGAACGGCGGCAGCGCCGTCGCTCCTGCCTGCGAGCAAAGCGGCCTGGCGAGTTCCTTAAGGTATATTCGTGCCTTTTCCAATGTGTCATTATAGATCTCCGCTGCTCGCGATTCCAGGACCGCGACCTGCTTGCCTTTCAGTGGCAGTGGGTCAATGCTTCCAATACGAACTCGAGGATCGTTGAAACCGAGGGTGACTTGATGCTGGTGCAGGAACGGAGTGCCCAGTATCAAATCGTAGTTCTGTAAGTTGATTATATCGAATTGTCTCTCGCAAGCGATACTCTGATATTCTATTCTCGCTTTTGCACAGTAGTTTGCCTTCGAACGTGAGCCCTGCACTGCTAGCTGAATGCCCAGCGGTTTTTCTAACGCAATCTTCTTTATTTTCAGTTGATCTGCCAGGTTTAACGACATAAAGTCGGCTAGCGATCCGGTGTCGAGCAGTGCTCGCGCCGGATGTCCATTTATATGAACTACTATGACAATAGGCTTCGGAACACAGCGCATGAAGTCCTTTGTGACTGCGGCATTCCGTTGCAGCGCAGGGTATTTGCCAGTGGGTACACTCATTCCGTTCAGTTCGATTATCTGAATTTTGTTATCGGCTTCTACCCATTCAACTTCGGGCATAGGGCGAAGGTATTCATCTGGGATAGATGCTAGGATCGCCTTTTCAATGTCAGAGGGTTCAGGTTGCTCAAGGATTGATAGTAAGTCATCCTCTTTGTCTCTAACAGGAGCCCACATGTCATTTTCAAGGTTCTGCACAGCTCGAAGGTATGTTTTGTGATACCAGTCCACAATACGAAATCTAACATCCTTCAGGCGTTTTGACTCGATCTCGACACGAAATTCGAGATCGTGGTCGAT